CTTTGAGTAAGCTGTCCAAACAGCTTTCCCCTGGTTCTCCTATTGATCTAAATTTCCTTTGTTGATTCTACCTCATCTGACCGAAGTCTGGACTCAAGGCACCTCAGTGCTCAATCCTCCCACCTTTTCTCTTCTGTCTATATACTCATAGACCAAGTGATCTCATACATTCCCATAGCTTTAAATTCCCTCTACATGTTGACAATTTCAAAATTTATGTGTTCCCCTGAACTCCAGCCTCATATATGTAAGATGTTCCCTAGACAAGACTACTTTAGACACCCAGTAGGCATCTAAATAGATTCAAAATTTAAGTATTTTTTCCCATCGTTTTATTCATCTAAGTGGCAGGATCTCCTATCAGCTGTATTATTTTTCTTTTTAGCTCTCACCACCCCCAGAAATAATTTGTTTAATGTCTGCCCAGTAGAATGCAAGCTGCGTGAGAGCAGGTATTTAAAGGGCACTCATTTAGGCTGTATGGAAAATGCAGACCCCCAGGGGAATATATGGGCTCAAATCTGAATGACAAGATGGAACCAGTCTTTTTTTTTTTTTTAAGGTTTTATTTATTTATTTGACAGCGAGAGAAGGAACACAAGCAGGGGGAGTGGGAGAGGGAGAAGCAGGCTCCCCACTGAGCAGGGAGCCCGACACAGGGCTCGATCCCAGGACCCTGGGATCATGACCTGAGCCGAAGCAGACACTTAACAACAAAGGCACCCAGGCGCCCCAAGATGGAACCAGTCTTGAGAGGATATGGATCAGGACAAGGCAGAGGAAAACTGTTCAAGGCAGAGGAAAGGACAAATTCAAAGGTCTAAGTCCAAAAGAAGCTGTACATTAAGGGGAGTAGAAAGAAAGCCAGTGGGGAGAGAGAACCAGGAACAAGGGGGTGAGTATTGAGAAGGAAAGAATGATGGGTAGAGTATGGTTCCAGGGATTCAGGAAGCGGGAATGTCAAGCCCAAAGGCCTAAAGAGTCAAATTCAGTACTTCAATACAAATAACAAAAAAGAGGTTACCCAGATCTCTTTCAGAAGGCCTCACATAAGCATTTCATATTTCCCTCGGGTGTTATCTTGGTATGTTAGTATTTATTCAAATTAATTTTGAACAGCCTGGACTAAAATGATAGTGTGGGCACAGCCAAGTTAGCTGTGATGTGAAGTAAACAGCAGTTCCTATAGTGGTATATGGAAGCTGAAGGGACCTTACCACAAAGTTTATATGGCTTAGTGCCACTCCTTGTGCTGGGGACAGACCTGGAGTCTTTATAACAGGACATCTGATCTACAGCCTCTCTAATCATTTAAGTGCTGCATTCTATGGGGAAAAATTCTAACATTTTGACTAAAGATGCACTTAAAAAAAAAAAAAGAACCCATGTCACTGATCAATACCAATATCCTCACTGTAAGTAACAAGCATTTTACTAAGGTCATTACAGAGGGCTATTAAATTACTTCTTGTATTTGTATCATTAAAAGCTGTTCTTGCATAGCCACATGATGGCAGATGTCAGTCAACTTGCAAAATATTGTATCCTGGAGGACGGTTTTTCCAGCAAGAAGTATGAGACAGGATAAACTATACCCCCAAAAGTTTCTGAAATGGGTATTTCCTATCGCTGTCTCTGAGACACTTTGTTGTTGCATTAAAACTATGCATTTTTAGTTGGCTTTAGCAGAATTTTTTCATTCAATACTTCAAGTTAGTAAGGAACTAAAAAAGAGGCCCCATTTCTGCAAAAAGCAAATCAGTATTTCTTTGGGCTTTTTTTTCTGCAAACAATCTTTAGGCTACCTAGATGATGTACTCATCTTACTAAGTATGGTAAATCACTGAAAACAAGAGAATTTGTTTAAACTGTTAGGTGTCTTCTATCATCTTCTTGAGATTTTATTTTTGCTTAGTCGCTGTTCTAACATACTTAGATTCTGGTCAAATTCAATTAATATATAATAAATCACTGAAAAACCATAATTACTTTTCAATTACAGAACTCCTTTATACTTTTAGTACACTTAAAATATTCTACTTCCTAAATGAAGTACAAATTTTTAAAAGAGAAATTCTTCAGCAAATCTTTGCAAAATCTGCTACCAGCTATACCTTCGGTTGTAGTAACATCATGTGACTGGAAGTGATACCCCAATACTTAGATTGTATGTTTAATAATTACTTTTATATAATCTCTGTGGACATGTAATCCACCAGGCTTTTATCTATAGATTTCTCTTCATTATTTTGCATTCTTTATTTCAGATCTTCCCTGAAACAACAGCTAAAGCAATCAAAACCTGCAATATGACTTCACTCATGAATGCAGAATCTCCTCCTTGCCCCAACATGAGAAACATGGCTGAAGGCAGGAATGAAGATCTTTGAAACACTAAGTGTTAGCATTTCAATCCCTATTTCCACTGTCTATAAGACACTCTACCACATTCCCTGGTCATTTCTTCTCATCGGTCTTTGTCCTTTTATTCAGTCATCATTTTGGATGACCTCAAGATTCTGCTCATAAAACATCCAAATCTATGAGCTCAGCCTTCTTGATTCCTAAGGTCTGTCTCCCTCCTTAGCCACATCTTAATTTCATTACTATCTGGACCAGCTCCACTGCCAAATTCAGCATGTTTCAACTCCCACTCCCGGTCACAACATCCTTGTCTCAGAATTTCTTTTATTGCTAGTGAACCGTCAACATAGTGCAGTAGTAATGCTTGTCCTCTCTGCTTTCTAAAGCCATCAGTCACCTCCTGCCTCAGCTATCGCTATAACCAATCAAGACCCATTTTCATATTACACAAACCCATGTGCCTATAATCGAGCACATCCTCTGTGCCCACCACTTGAATCTGACCTCCTACCTCGTCTTACTGCTCAGTCCATGGCTCTGGGTATTGTTAGAAAAATCTATGAGACAATTAGTCTTTCCTTGACATTTTTTATGATGTCTACCTTTAATGGCTCATTATCACTAACCCATAGGCCCTTTTCTCTTACATAACCTGCTCTTGGCTTTCTAAACTATTTCTATAAACTCTTCCTATAGCAGATGACCACTCCTTCCTGACACTATTATCTCCTGTCCAAAAAATTTACTGTCTAAAGTTCTATATTTTAACTGATGCTCTTTCTTTTCTCCCAGCTCAGAGGAGGAGCCTTTCCCCTGGTGTCTACAGGTTTCCTCAACGCTATAAGAACATTTCTTTGGTTCTTTTTACTCTTGCAAACTACAACACACTTTCCCATATTCTTTCAATACATTTTCTAAAATTATAGACCATGATAGTTGGCTTATCATTCTCCCGAACTACTTGCACAGGATTTGAATAACAACCTCACTCAAACTTGAACCATATATTCCCCTGGCTTCCACACCATTTACAACTCTATTTTTACATCTCCCTAACCACTTTTTCCCATTCTCATCATCAGCTCCTCCCTGGGCCTTAAGGCACCTCCTACTCACATCTTCCCATCAAACTTGGACTTCTATTGCATAGTTCATAGAACTGGAGTAAGGATTATGCATAAAGCACTTGAAAGTGTACTATTTAGTCTTAAGACTCCAATCAAACTTACCCCCACAAAAAAGCTTTCTCTGACCTCCCTAGAAAGGGTCAGTCTCCCATAATGGCTTATATGTATCTAACACAGATTATTACCCTGTATGGCTATTTATCTGCTACTACTGTACCAGACCATGGTACCCCGATGTTTCCTAAGAAAATATAGTCACCCCTGGTACCCCCACCTTATCTATCTCTCACAGGGCCACCAAATTAATCTTTCCTAAATCCCATATTGATTCTCCCATTCTTTTCAGAAGCTAACAATTTTGCCTTCCTATAACACACACCAAAACTTTTTAGCCCAGCTCTTAAACCCCATATATGGCTAAAACTACCAATCTTCTAATACCTTCTAAGAAGCATCCATTTGTCTTATTCCAAAAATATATACAGTACTTTCTCCCACCTTGTGGCCTCTACTCAAGTTTACTTATATGACTGCTAAGTGATAGTTGTGAGGTTCTTCCTTAGCTCAGGCAATATTCCCTGAGTCAAGGTCATCCTCCTGAAACTGCTCTCCTTATCCAGTTAGCAGAATGACACTACATTTAATCCACATTGAATACATAGGTGTATATATAATTCCCCAAAAGAATGGTCAAGCCAGTGATAAAGATGACATTTTAAACAAGTCTGAAACCCTCACTATAAGTGACACATAACATCTTTATTACCATCAACATTTATGCCAGGTGCTGCTACAAATGCTCTACGACGATCCTATGGGATATGTACTACTATTTTTCCCATATACAAATGGGAAGCCAGGGTCACAGAGGCCTTCACAGATACTTGAACAAAATGGGTACAAAATTATATTGGTAAATGAATAAATGTATTACTAATAACTATGCTCTGATGCTGTCACATAAATCAATCTGTCAACCTACAATGTTTTCCCCACTCTTCCCAGCCAAGCAAAATCCTCCCAGCCTTTCAGACACAACAGAAATGTCACCTTTTTAAGAAAGTCTCCTCAACACTTGAGATAAAGAAAGAAAGAAAGAAAGAAAGAAAAGTTGGTTTCCTACTAACACCCTGGCAAAATTATTTGCTCCTTCTATGAATTGTCTTTAATACCTAGAATGTATCTTTATTATAACACTGAAGTTTTTTTGAAGTTTACTCAATTAGAATGGGTTTACAATGACAATTCAATATTTTCCATTCTTGAAAGAACTAACTGGAAAGCAAAGTAAATATAATTTACATCAGATGAACAAATGAAATAAACAGAAATGGTATATATCTCATTAGCAATAACTGATAATCATATTCAGAAATCTTTTCTGTAACGTTTAGTACATCTATCACATTATAAGGTCTGGTATAGCTAAGTCTAATTCAGAAGGTTCAGTCTTTCTTTTAATATGTCCAAACAAAGCTTTATTCTTAAAAAAATGGGGAATAAACTTACCAGTCTCCTCCTTTCTTCTTCTACTGCAATGAGTAATCTTGCAAATTCCTTTAGTGACTGAGCTATTTAGAAGATTAAAAAAAAAAAGCATTAACCTCTTTTCAATGCTAATATCTAATTGCACAGGAATAAACATTACAGTGAAGCTGATTATAAATGTGTATATATACTTTGGTTTTACACTTCTATAAGCATAGATCAGTATACATAGTAGGATCTCAATGACTAATAGCTATAGATAACAGATATTTGTGCACTGCAAATTAAAGTCTAGCACACACAAAGTATATTTTTTCTTCAAAGACACTAGGGAAATACAGTTTATGTAATGTATAAAACTTAAATTAATAAATAAAAGTTTACTACTGAAATTGCTTCTAAACAGAATCCTACAAATAATGAATATATTAAATCTCTAAGAAGCAATAAATCCAGTACTACTTAGATGTACTTAGTAGCAGCCAGTCATGCAACATCTCCCACTGACTTCTGTCTAGAAACTCAACAGTTATAGATACTTAAACTAGATTCTGTATTCTGTATTACTCCAATATCAAGGTAGTTTAGACTGTGAGTCATCAGTGTGGCCAGAAGGACTACCAGCATCAGCATTTGGGGAGTTTGTTAGAAATATAGATTCAGGCCTCACCCCAGAATCTGCATTTTAATAAGATCTTCAGGTGATCCATTTGCATACTGAAGTTGAGAAGCACTGCTTTACTTTTTTTCTTCTTTTTTTTAAGTTTTATTTAAATTCCAGTTAACATACAGTGTAATATTAGCTTCAGGTGCACAATTTATTGATTCAACACTTACACACGACACCTGGTGCTCATTACAACTTCAGATAGCTCTCTAAAGCAGAGCTCCTCCCTAGTTAGGTGGAAGAAGGACTGCTTTACAGAGCTATCAGAACTCCTATTGCTCTGGCTTGGGACAAGTATCAAATACTCAGAAGCACTGGGAGAATAAACCAAAAAATAAATTGGGACTTACAATAGCGTATTCTTTAAAAATGCATAGTCCCAAATGGCAATTGTAAAACAGTAATTCATCCACATTAATTTCTATATCTTATACTTAACTAAAGTTGGAATGTTTTGATTACAAAACTAACAATACAAATAATCCAAACAAATGCAAAAATGATTTCTATTTAAGCTTTGAACCTTCCCTTCTATGTCTTTATTCTTTAGGCTCCCTACCATTTCCTTCCTACCCATACTAATATTAAAAACAGTCTGTAAGAAGTCTAGTAAGTCTGGCATAAAGCCTACAATAAAGGCAGGTAAGTGAGGAAAATAAATCAAGAGTCTCAGAACTTATTAAGAAAAAGAATGTTTTCCATTCAAGAATTTGAAATTACAATCTAGGTTTTTTCCCTCCACTCTTTAAAACTACTAGGCTTACACTAACTAACCTGGTTTGAAATACTATCCCTATGATTACTTCACATTGGATTTTTTTCACAGTTGCCAAAAGAGAAATCAAAGGATTATCTGGGAGACTCAGATTAATCTGATAAACACATTAATGACCTTAGAGGAAATATAATTTTTTTTAACTTAGAAAAATGAGATTTTAATTTCTATAAAAATAACAGTTTCAATGCTACAATACAACACAGTTGTGACAACAGTAAGTTGAAGGGAAAAACATTTTACAAATATATAGAAAGTTTTAACTGGAGTATATCATAGAATAGTAAATTTTTATACTTTGGGTAAATAAAGCATTCCATCATCCTGGCAACTATCTTGCCACTAAAGAGCTCTATTGGTAAGCCTGGAAAAAAAAAAAAGTCAATAAAATCGTGGACAATGGAAGGCATTATGTTGACATGCCTACAGAGAAAGAAACCAAGAGAGAAATCAGTTGGGACTACAGGAATTGGAGGCAGCAGGTACTCCTGAAGGTGAGAAAATAAGAGGTGAAAGAAAGTTGATAGTAAGTTTAAAGTCTGTATAAGAAGCACTTTAACCCCAGATTTCAAACTCAATGCCTCCCAAACTTTTTAATTTAAAACAAAACAAACAAACAAAAAACCAACTACCCTCATATGCTTCTTTTATGGGAAGCTGCTGGATAAGGCACTCTAACAAAACATCAGATTTCAAACTCAATGCCTCCCAAACTTTTTAATTTAAAACAAAACAAAACAAAACAAACAAACAAACAAAAAACCAACTACCCTCATATGCTTCTTTTATGGGAAGCTGCTGGATAAGACACTCTCACAAAACATAGGAATAAACCAAGAAAAGAGGATATGGGACCTAGAAGTAGGAGATCCAATACAACATAGGAGCAAATGAAATTCTTATGTCAACAGAGAGATATTGCAGGTCACTGCTGCGCAAAAGGTTCAAAGATCCTACCCAGACTGGAGCAATAAGTTACAGAACAGGAAATGCCTCCAGAGAATAAAAGTAGAACTGATCAATAATCTGATGTATCTGAATGTAATAAAAGGAAATTTATACTCTTTTAAAATTCAAAGGCAATTATTAACTCCTGGGAAAACAGTTATATAAGTAACACCATCAAAATAAATGAAATAACTCAGTTGTAATACATACAAAGTCATCATGATATAAACATAACAGTATAAAATGAAAAGAGGGTATCTAAGCCTAGGGAAAAAGTCAAGTGTTAGCAAAATAATCATGGTCTTGAAAGAAACAGAAGAAATGGCTAAAAGTTCAAAGTGGTCTTCGTGAGTAGTTAAGTTTGCTCAGGACTTGTAAGATGAGAGGTTGCTAGTTTTTATTAAGCCTAATAAAAAATCTTTACCTTTTTTTAAATAATGAAAAATAAAACATGCTATAAATGCTTTATTTTCCTACTAGACTTAATTTTAGGAGGCTAAATGCACATATTAATTTTCCCAAAGAATTAAGTAAATATCTAGCACATAGAAGCCTGACAACAAGGTTTTTTATTTTGTTTTGTTTTTGTTTTTTGACAACAGGTATTTTTGGAATAAATGAAGACATAGTTTGATTTAGACTGTCAGGAAAACACAACCCAGGAGGCAACCACTGTCTCATGGAGTAGTGTCCTAGTAGTAGTCCCAGGAGCATCATCCCATAACAACTTGGAAGTCCATAGGCTTCCCCAAGTAACTACTACTTCAAGAGTAAATCGTGCAGATGCCTTAAGTCAGATTTTGGTTTTAAATAAAGAAATTCAGATTCTCATTTTGATATTGTTGAACCTCTTTGTCTAAAAATTAATGATGCTGTTTCCTGCTTAACTTGAATAGTTTTCTGGTCTGTTTCCCATATAAATACTATTTATAGACTCAGTACAATAATAGTTTATTATAATGAGAATGTCTGAGGAGAAAAATTTGAACATGCAAAAGCAATTGTATGTCTGGTTCCTCACAACAAAAACTACTCTCCCTCCAGCAGTTTTCTGGGTCTGCCCCAATTTGACAGTAAGTTTTGTTTCTTCTTTTTCTTTTGTTGATTTTTCAGGGAAATTACTTCAAAAAACAAAATTTGTCCTTTATATAGTATAGTCTCAGTTCCACAGCAGTATGTTTCTTAGTCCAAATGAAGATACTCATGTTTGTCACTTGTCCTACACGGAAATGAACAGCCAGGAACATCATTTCATCAAATAGTAACAGCAACCTACTTTTTCATTTTTTTTTTTAAGATTTTATTTATTTATTCATGAGAGACAGAGGGAGAGAGAGAGAGAGAAGCAGAGGGAGAAGCAGGCTCCCAAGGAGCAGGGAGCCCAATGCGGGACTCAATCCCAGGACCCTGGGATCACGACCTGAGCCGAAGACAGACGCTTAACCATCTGAGCCACCCAGGCACCCAGCAACCTACTTTTTCAACCCATATCTAAAGCTTTCCCCTAAGTCTTTTTATTAATAGTTCCTCTAAGTTTTGCATTAATAGTTTACAAAGCACAGGATAACACAGAAAGAAAACAGGAATTAACAATCCTATAAAGCAGGTATAAAATAATTCAAAGTATTGTATAAACTGGGTTTTAGGGCAAAGGACTGATAGCCAGTGACTTCCTAGCCTGGCCTATGCTCAAAATCTAAAGGAGCCTCTGACACAAGTCAGATAGATCCAAGCTGCATAGTGTATCCCAGCAACTCCTCTGAGATGAGAAGCCAGCAGTAGAATTTCTGGTGCCCAGGACCAACAAATGCCTTAAGACACCATGAAAACTCGTAGAGAGTCTAGTCTCCACCAGACCTTGGGCACAAAACATACAAAATGACTCCTCCAGGGAGCCTGGGTGGCTCAGTTGGTTAAGCGACTGCCTTCGGCTCAGGTCATGATCCTGGAGTCCCGGGATCGAGTCCCACATCGGGCTCCCTGCTCAGCAGGGAGTCTGCTCCTCCCTCTGACTGCCCCCTCTTGTGCTCTCTCTATCTCATTCTCTCTCTCAAATAAATAAATAAAATCTTTAAAAAAAAAAAAAAAAAAAAATGACTCCTCCAGCCTCCATCACAATGATGTTGACTCCTTGAGCAATTTCTTCTAAGACTTTACTTAAGTAAAATCTAAAAATATTTTTATTACATGCAAATTCTAATACCCCAACACTTTCTTTTATAAGCAATTATATGTGATGTTCCATATCTTGTTTATCAATGTTAATATTTACATAAATAACCATTTCATTATCTGATTTTGGGGATCCAGACTAACATCAAATTTAACAGCTGGTCTTGCAATTTTAGATTCTCCCAATACATAGTTGGTGTGACAGGAGCTTGATTAAGTGACAGCAATATCCCAAAAACAATATTTAATACACAGTGAGCTTTCAATAGATGTTCATTAAATGAATTAATGAGTTTAATAATACATTTCCACAATCTATTTGCTATATACAGAGAAACATACCAACTCATATTCTAGGCTTCATAAAATTATTTTGAAAAGGAAAAATAAGGAAATTTTCTTTGGAAAATTATGTTAGCTATCCCCATTCTTGCCACCTCCATGAAACTTTCCTGGCTGTATTCACCAGTAATAATCTTTCCCCTTCCTGACCATCTGGACCATGAGATTACTGGAGAGCA